AATCAGTCAGTCTATCTGTCATTCCTTGTCTCACTATTGTTGTATAAGTAAACTAATTTAAGCCATAACACTAAAATCCATAAGATTCTCTGTGCATTTTAGAAAGCTATTGTAGTGTGTTAACAATAGTCTGATTAAATAAATATACATAGTTCATTAAGTGTAATTCTATATTGTCCTCCAGGCATCCATCAGGATCAAAGTCTTCAACATCAACATCATCTGCCAAGAAGCCAGTTCATCCAACTGTAGGATCAGCAAATAAATCYAAGTTTTTATCAAAAGCAAGAGCCAAACAACTTGAGAAAGAAGAAGCAGCTAAAGCTGAATCAYCAATTCCAACACCACAGAGTCCTGTCTGGTCMTCCATTCATGGTGGACAGCAGATGATAATGGTTACCTTGAGTAAAGATAAAATGATACAAGTTCATGTTCCTAATGAGACRGGACCAAGGTCACCTACACTTTCTGAGTGTAAAACTATTATTGCTGAACAACAAGAAACCAATCATAAGCAGGCTAGAGAGGTAAAAATTATACTTGGCTTTCACTTCAGCATTGTAATAGAAACCATTCGGAAAATGAATGATAATTTTAATTTATTGTAATACATTTGTCTGTTTGTAGTTGCTTAAATTGAGGACTGATCTGAGAGATGCTAAATTAATTCTTGCCAAAAAATTAAACCAAACTAACCATCTAGAAGGAAAGTCTTACTCTAAAATGGAGGCTAGTGCATCAAATTTCAGGTATGTATTAATTTTTTTAATAACTTTATATATAACTATATAACATAACTATATATATATTTTTTCTCTAATTACCCCACTTTAAAGCCTCTGTGTTTCCAAGAATATCTCTGATCCAKYTGTAAARCATGTGAAGCCTAGACAAGCAATGKAAATGGAAATACAAATGTAATAATTTTTTATTTTTTTGAATAAAGTTTAAAAACTTCTTGTTTTACTTGAATAATTTGGAAATGATACAATATAATATCCACGAACCTTCTCATTTTACCATGTATTTTTGTAGCAATAGATCTAATGATTATTATAATATTTTTAGTGGCTCAAACAGTAATAGACATTTACCACAGTTACCATACAGAGAACCTGTAAACTCTGGCAGGTAAGACAAAAAAATTTATATCATGTACTTATATATTAAGTATAAGGGCTGTACAGGAATATGTTTGGCTCAAGGTCGTGGACCAAGTGCAGCAAGATCTGTACAAATACCAAGACTCATATGATAAGAGTTTCTATTAAAGTACACCTGCTGAGTATATTTTTGTTAACAATAATATCAATGGYAAAAAATGTCTACTTTAAAGAATCATTGTAAGCTCACATTGTTTTCTTTCAAAGATTACCAGCAAGGCCAGCTCCAAGTCAACCAGAGAAGTTCACCCTGCCAAGCCTTAGACCAAATATTAATAGTGGAGTTGCAGATAGAAGACGTCGTCAACAAGCTATCCTAAGAGGAAGAGCAGCAAGACCAAATTTCTACTAGATGATATATGTCTATTAATAATATATAAATTGGCTTTATCTAAGTTTCAATTTCATTTTATTTAATATTTCCAAAAAAGATATTGCACTAAAGTTTATTCATTATATTTGAGCATAGTTTTGGTGTAAAGTTTGCTGTGTGCAAAAATTACTTTGTAAATAGATCAGTATTCTCCTATTGTTAAATTGCATGACAAAATAGGTTTTTATTAAACATMTAAAACTACTATTTAAAAGGTATTATTTAAACCTTCTGTACTATTTCTATCCTAAAAATTTGTTATTGATTCTTTACTGCTTGTCAACACAATAAATGAGAATGATAAGAATATCTTGTGATTATTGGATTCACTCACAAAGTCAAGCCCGGTATCTACAAGGAAGTACAACTAGCCCAGGGTAGGTACTTGAAGATTCAGACAGGGACATTCTGCTGGTACCTCTAAACGCTGATCTTATTTAATACAGAAAAATCGTGAAATMAACAGAAATTGGTAAAATATAGACCATATCCAAGAGTAGGTAGTGGTCCCAAAAAGATGTCAATATAGTCCCTTCAGAGTAAATATGGGGAGTACCCCCATTTCATTGCCGTGTCTTAAATCATACCTACAGTTGATTGACAGATACATGTAAAAGACCTTCCTATTAGAGGTTAAAAAAAACAAAGCGGTCAACATGCTTTTCAAACCGCATTTGACAAGGTCGCTAGTGTTTGGGCTTCCTGTGTTGAGATTATTATGATCACGTGATCATTTAAAGAAGATGGCGGTTTTTTGTGCTCCGCGATGCAAATAATTGTSTGTTTCGAGGTGAAAATATTAGTCTTTGAAGCTAAAAGGCTACTCCAAAATTGATTATGAGTAAAGTAATAATAGTAAGGTAGGTAACTGCTGTTTTCTGTTTGGATTCAACCKATATCCCTTGATATTAAAGGAAGAAAATTTGTTATTTCTGACAGGCTACTGGGTGACCTTTCTTGAAAGTATTTAAATATAAAATGGCTACTAATGGACTGTGGCAGAGGACACAGATTGGATTTCTTCCTCGTAATACGTCAGCACAACAAGACATGAGCAAATTGCCACCTTCACAACTGTCTAGTCAACTACAGTTCAACATGGGTATCCCAGCTTTGSCTGAGAACATGGCTACACACTTTACAAAACCAAAACCTATCKTAATCGAAAAACTTGAGGGACCAAAACCTGACRTTAAAAACAAAACATTTATTTCAAGAATCCCTGAGAACTTTCCACTTGCAAATACATCCTCGTTATCTAGTGATCGYCTTGCCTTTGCTGTGAATTTAGCTAAAAGGGACATCAAAAGAGCAAAACTAATGCCTGCTGAAGAAGAACAAGTTATTGAATCTCCAACTAAAGTTAAAGTAAAAAGATCCAAGAAGGAAGATGTTCAACCTAAGGAAACAATGAGGCATCGAGTACACAAGTCTTTGAGACACTATGATAAGGTGAGTTTAATGGAGGAACTATGAAAGTATGGTAATAATCAACCCCCTAATATACAACTATTGCTTTGCTTACTTGAGGCAATATCATGTGTGSTCTGTTTACTAGTAGGATGGAGTTAAATATAAGGTAAGTATAAATTCTCCACCGACTAGGTGTTATGTACTAGTGCGACCATGCCATGAGTTCCTATGGTTACTGCTTTGTTTCCAGGGACACGGCATTCATTGAAGACAACAGTTCATGTACTGTACTTAAATCATTGTGATTATGATCATAATTGATACACACATAAAGTCATGATTATGTTCTTATACTTGCAGGAAATGAAGAAGGCCCACGGTGTTTACTTTTATCCTTCGTTTCCACATAGCTTGAATGATGATAGTGAAAGTCACCATGCAAGGGAGATAAGAAAACTTAGGAAAGAATTRAATTTGCATCTAAAACAACTTCATGATTTACAACAAAATAGRCCAATTGTCTTACAAAACAAAGATAAAMGATTAAAAAKCAGGAAAGAGAATGTAAGACTGTCTGATGATGAGATTGATGATAGACAAATTGCAAGAACCGAAGAACAAACTATCAGGTCATCAAGAATATTGTACACACTTCAGCGTCAGGTACAGGATTATAATWGTTATACCAATCCTATCAAGAGTTGTGATTATAATGATTCAATTCAATGGATATAATGTGCAGTGTTTTCTCTCTTTTTTTTTAGATACGTGATCTTCAAGATGAGTTGGACAAGAAAGGMAAAAATATCAAACACACTAAAAAGGTATTTAATTTTCTTTCATCTTGATTATTAAAAATATTGTATGGAATAATGTTTACTTTATTAAAGTTTACTGATTAATGTTAGCAAGGCAATGCTATGATTATAATTATAGCATTGTCTTGTGTGTTTAATATCAACACCATTGGTCTACACATCTTGATCTTTCTTTTAAAAAGCCATTCCTCACTCACAGGAAACTCTTTTTATTGAATGCTCATAGCAGTATTTGTATCTTTATAAACTGTAGAGTCAAAGCCTTCATCGACTAGCCTCAGCTCATAGAGCAGCTCTTAGAGCTCTGCAGACATTCATCAGCCAAACCCCTCTTCATTCCAAAGCAAGTAATGGAGGCCCTGATATGTATCAAGACTTAGCAAAACTTGTACAACAACTATCTCTACTCACAGCACAGCTTCAGGTTGACACAGAGGAAGAGCTCATTGATGATTTGGCTGAAAGACATGGACAGGTTTGTGAAAACTCTAGACTGTGAGCATGGTCTCAAAGKTGCATGGGATATGGGGAAGAATAGGCTTAAATAGTGGGTGGGGAAAGGATGAAGAAAGAAGGGGAGGGATCWTCTTCTAGTTCAATTTTGGTAGCATTTTTGAGGTTTATTGATAGTTTGTCTTCAATTCTGTAGCATTATCAGTATCAGAGAGATGAAGGTAGTTCAACCAAACATGGTGCTTTTTTTAAGGATGTTCATGAAACTTCCTTTAAACAACCRATCAAGCCGTCACCACCAACCAGAGACAGAGAAAACAAGACAATGAAAAGTATGCTTTACTCCAAAGTCTCTTTTCCTATTATCATATATCAACCAATAAAATAGATTGTATTTTTAAGTATTGTCTGTTGTACTTAATTTTCAGAAGTTATCCCTTCCCACTCTTCCCCTGAAAGAGATGCTGTCCTTAGAGCTGGTTTAGAAGCTCTAGTAAGGGCGAGAGAAGAGGCCTTGAATGCTGAAAAGGTAACCCTGTTTTATTCAATCAGTTAAACTGAGCCAATCAGTTGATAGACCACTACTCTACTTGTTTGGAAGTCAGTTTTTTTAGTTCTAAAAGTCCAGCCTACTCCATGACTCAGAGGGCCTACCACTGACATTTAAATAAGGTCATTTTAATCATTAATTGTAAGACTAGGAGGCTGTTCAAATTTTARTAGGTTTCCCTGCACAGCAGTTTAATTTATGAAATTTTTATTAAACGTTTTTGTGTTTTTCAGTCCAAGATGAAATCTCATGTTGCACCTTCAAGGTCATCAAAAAAATCAGTTCTTTTGCCAGCTCCACTCAAGGTTAGTGGATCAATATGYGTTTTACTATCATGTAACATTATTTATTATCTTGATCTCTAAAGATCTACATGTAGAAATGAATGTACTTTATAAATAATATAAATACTCACATGCAGCAATACGTGAACCCTTTTTGACATTATCACTGAAGGTTACTCGTCAGATTATAAAAAAAAAGAGACTGAAATAATAAGACAGCATAAACATGTACAGATATCACAGTTTATTGCATTCATTCTCTCTCAATAATCATATCCATGTTGTATCTAGGTCAAACGACAGCGTATACATCAAGCTGSTGCTGTTCAAAGACTAAAGCCAGCAGATATCAAACAGGCAGGCTTTGCAAAGGCTACTGTATCATCAACATTACGTAAAATYGAAACTGCTGATGAACAACCACCAAAGTCTCCTCCAAGAACACCCACTAAATGCCCTCAACGAGGGAMACCAATTAAGAAYCATGGCAGTCCAGAAAGACTTTGTGAACAGACTCCTCAGTTAACACCTAAATCACAAAGTCGACAACCCGAAGAAGAGGTACCAAARTAACAATATCCTTTTGTACAAAGTCTTTTAACCTAATATTAGAGACAGCTMCAGGGCAAAAAATATAGGCTAGTCAGCAAACCTTTTATTTAGGCCAGTCAAATATTCGTGTATTGAAGCTAAATAATTGTTTTGACAGGTCAAATTTGAGCTTCTGGAAGCTTCTTGTCTGATACATGTAACTCACCTGCCTGACACAATTTTTTTCTGCCTTGACCATTCCACTTCTTAAAGGACTGACGTTGCTTATCTGTTCAACATTGTCTTTTATATCAAGTTGATGGTTTTCAAGAAATACTTAATTCTACAAAAGAAACATGTTTCTTTGCAAGCTAGTTTATTTGAAGAATAGTCAGTGTATTGAAGTGATGTCATTACCTTATGTTCTTATTAGTTGAAGAGTCCACGAAACACAAAATACCAAAGACAAATGATACCTGAGGAGAGGAAGATGGTAGAGAGAGAAATAGAAAGGTATTATTATTATTATTATTATTATTATTATTATTATTATTATTATTATTATTATTATTATTATTATTATTATTGGTTTATTCAGCAAATACTTTATAAAGTTGTCCATCATTCCTTGATGGTGGCAATGAAAGCTTGGGACTTCAGCCTGTGATTTCTTTACTTTATTCTCTTCCTTTTATGTTTCCAGACAACTTTGGTTGGATAAGGAAGCTGATCTTCGTGTAAGTTTCAATATCCTTTCTATGAGATAATTCTGCATCAACCCAAACCTATCTTTATTTTTTGTCTAGTTTCTCTCTTTGTTTTGCTATTTCTTTTCTCTCTTCCTTCCTCTATCACCATTTTTATTAGCTTTCGCGATTATAAAAGATTGATCTGCATACTTCAGATGCAAGAACTGGAACTGGAAGACGAAATGAGACGTAAAAGACATCACCCAGGTCACTCAAGGTTAGTTAATGCTGTCCAGTTCCTATTTGCCTTTTATAATAATTATATAGTTAACGTAGTATTTTCTTTTYTAGCGATGGTGTTCGTCTTGCCCGTCAAATGATTCAAGAGACAGAAGAAGCAATMATGAATAGACTAAAACCGTTACTTGACCGAGCTGAGGTAAAGATGACACATTTAAYAGRTTGTTTTYTGTTTCCCGTTTAATTTGACTTTCTACRCAGGCTATTGTGACAGGAAATACAAAGCAGGAGGAAATGAAGAAACGATCTTTAAAACACCAATTAACAGACCTAACAGCAAGAACAGTATGTTAAAACATATTAACAAAATGTAACATAAGAACTCTAAGAGCAAGAAAACTAAAATACGTAACTATAAAGCATTTACCAGATATTTCTATTTCTAAAATATRMTGAGGCAAACTGGCATTTCTCATACCCAAAAATGTTTATTCCATGTTGGTTATTTTTGGTMCTGTAGACAATGGAGCAAGCTCATTTATTGGCTGATGAAATATTAGAAGATATTCTAGATGAAACTGTATTGGAGCTTCAAAGGTGATTACTTGTTTCTAGGGGGATGTTTGCTAACTATTTCATCTTCTAGAAGAAGAATTTGAGTCATAACCACGATATAACAGCCTTATATATTGTGAATCATCTAGCATAACATCGCTGTTTTCTAGACTAGAGGTTGAGGAAGAAGCAGAAATGGCCGTGTCAGGCCTTCAGAATCAGTCAACCATCGAAAATATAATGCAAAAACTTCAAAGCTTTGAGGTATTAAATATTAAACACCATACATACCATTATGCAATATTTTAGAACTATCTTCCTGGAAGCAACTGACAATCATAGCAGGGCCGGGTTGTTCAAAGCCCGATGGGCGTCAATCCTGGGTTAACTCCTTAGGTTTTCTAAGAGTTAACCCAAGGATTAGCACTAATCGATCTTTGAACAAACCGACCCAGATGTCTAACTAATATTTATGTGAAGCTTCGTAAAATTGCCTTTTTTCATTGTATAACAAAACAAACTTCATTGATACATTGAAAAGAGATTATAAGGTTTTTTGGGGGAAGGATGCAGGGAGGAGGTACTGTTCACGGAAATCATCAGGTAGATTGGGTAACAATGACTGGGTTTTCTTTGACAGGAGGGAGAAAGTGACATTCGTCGTTACTGGACTAGAGTCAGTTATGATGATATTACTTCACACGAAGGTAAGRTTTSTGTTTTATTCCTTACTTTCTTCATTGCAGTCCTACTCTATTCATGACTTACATTTTACAACTATTAGACCCTGAGGATATACATGTAATAGCTCACAATTGATCCTATTGTCTCGCTGTTCATGAGTCTGAGAAGTCTAATTGTTTCAACAACAATTTTCCCTGCAGAAACAACGCACAAACGAACAGCAATGGAATATCAACCACATCACCCTGAACCCATTCGATTTTCRAAACACAAACCTCAAACGACAGGCAACTATTTGGATAAKAAAGTCAGGCATCTAAAACATAGGAAAAGGTTTGACGATCCTGAATCTCCAACGGATACTGGTAGCACTGCGTCTCTTTTAGAAGGTACGTTAAAACAAGCAGGCTTAAACGTCGAGCTTTATCAACCAGAATTGATTGGCAATATCCAGTGACGTCATTTTGTAGAACCTTTAAAATGGACTATTCTTAAAATTCCAGCGAAAGTGGGCTTCTATGTGTAGATGGATTGGCCATTTCTAATGTTTTTATCCTAGGAACGAGTTTATGATTTATGGGACGAGGCTATCCCCGTCTGTGCTGATATTTTAAGTTGATTGTCAATAATGCCCAAAATGTAGTCTATTTGTTTCCATCCCAGAAACGCCGCAAAACTGCCATTTTTTGCACACAAAAAGTGCGTCGCGGTTTGCTTAACAAAATGACATCCCTGCCCATCAATGCAGCTTATAGTCCTCAACACAAATACTCTTGCTTGTAAATCACTTTTCTATTGGTGTCTAAAGTCGAACGCGTTTCAAACCATACAAAGCCTTCCGATAAATCATGAAATCATAAAGTTTTCTTTTCTTTTTGAAGAAATATCTACCAATAGAAGTTCAGCTGCAACGAGTCAAATCTTTGAACGTCATCGACCACCAACGACTGAATCTACCATCAATCTATTTGTTCCGAGTGAATTACGAACGAGTATTGCAGCATACCGAAGCAGGTTCGAGCGGTTTTTACGAGATACGGCTACACATATAGAGGGGTCGTTCGACCCATGGAAACTCGCTGACCAGTAAGTACTGTCATTTGTTTTTGATTTCATATGCACCCTTGTAGGTCAGATTCTGTATAGATTAGGGATATGCAGTCCTCCCAGCTTTGGGATTCGAACAATAATGATTTGCGTACTATTAAATATTTCCTTTTATACGCAAACAAAGGTGTGTCGTGTACCTCCCTCTCCATCGTTAGACTTGGACGCCCTTTTCCCTCTTTGTATGGTTTTGATGAACGTTGACAATTTTAAATAAACACTTTTTATTTCTTTAGAATAAGTGAGGTGCTGCTAGACGATATGATCCAAGACGTTGCCGTTGAGCTTGGTGGTGTGTGTGACGAGTATACCGAGAATATATTTACCAAAGAATTTGTCCCGGCCACAGATAGCAGCCTCGTCTCATAAGACGACTAATGTGATCCAAAAATAATGTCCTGGCTGNAACCCGAAGAAGAGGTACCAAAATAACAATATCCTTTTGTACAAAGTCTTTTAACCTAATATTAGAGACAGCTCCAGGGCAAAAAATATAGGCTAGTCAGCAAACCTTTTATTTAGGCCAGTCAAATATTCGTGTATTGAAGCTAAATAATTGTTTTGACAGGTCAAATTTGAGCTTCTGGAAGCTTCTTGTCTGATACATGTAACTCACCTGCCTGACACAATTTTTTTCTGCCTTGACCATTCCACTTCTTAAAGGACTGACGTTGCTTATCTGTTCAACATTGTCTTTTATATCAAGTTGATGGTTTTCAAGAAATACTTAATTCTACAAAAGAAACATGTTTCTTTGCAAGCTAGTTTATTTGAAGAATAGTCAGTGTATTGAAGTGATGTCATTACCTTATGTTCTTATTAGTTGAAGAGTCCACGAAACACAAAATACCAAAGACAAATGATACCTGAGGAGAGGAAGATGGTAGAGAGAGAAATAGAAAGGTATTATTATTATTATTATTATTATTATTATTATTATTATTATTATTATTATTATTATTATTATTATTATTATTGGTTTATTCAGCAAATACTTTATAAAGTTGTCCATCATTCCTTGATGGTGGCAATGAAAGCTTGGGACTTCAGCCTGTGATTTCTTTACTTTATTCTCTTCCTTTTATGTTTCCAGACAACTTTGGTTGGATAAGGAAGCTGATCTTCGTGTAAGTTTCAATATCCTTTCTATGAGATAATTCTGCATCAACCCAAACCTATCTTTATTTTTTGTCTAGTTTCTCTCTTTGTTTTGCTATTTCTTTTCTCTCTTCCTTCCTCTATCACCATTTTTATTAGCTTTCGCGATTATAAAAGATTGATCTGCATACTTCAGATGCAAGAACTGGAACTGGAAGACGAAATGAGACGTAAAAGACATCACCCAGGTCACTCAAGGTTAGTTAATGCTGTCCAGTTCCTATTTGCCTTTTATAATAATTATATAGTTAACGTAGTATTTTCTTTTYTAGCGATGGTGTTCGTCTTGCCCGTCAAATGATTCAAGAGACAGAAGAAGCAATMATGAATAGACTAAAACCGTTACTTGACCGAGCTGAGGTAAAGATGACACATTTAAYAGRTTGTTTTYTGTTTCCCGTTTAATTTGACTTTCTACRCAGGCTATTGTGACAGGAAATACAAAGCAGGAGGAAATGAAGAAACGATCTTTAAAACACCAATTAACAGACCTAACAGCAAGAACAGTATGTTAAAACATATTAACAAAATGTAACATAAGAACTCTAAGAGCAAGAAAACTAAAATACGTAACTATAAAGCATTTACCAGATATTTCTATTTCTAAAATATRMTGAGGCAAACTGGCATTTCTCATACCCAAAAATGTTTATTCCATGTTGGTTATTTTTGGTCCTGTAGACAATGGAGCAAGCTCATTTATTGGCTGATGAAATATTAGAAGATATTCTAGATGAAACTGTATTGGAGCTTCAAAGGTGATTACTTGTTTCTAGGGGGATGTTTGCTAACTATTTCATCTTCTAGAAGAAGAATTTGAGTCATAACCACGATATAACAGCCTTATATATTGTGAATCATCTAGCATAACATCGCTGTTTTCTAGACTAGAGGTTGAGGAAGAAGCAGAAATGGCCGTGTCAGGCCTTCAGAATCAGTCAACCATCGAAAATATAATGCAAAAACTTCAAAGCTTTGAGGTATTAAATATTAAACACCATACATACCATTATGCAATATTTTAGAACTATCTTCCTGGAAGCAACTGACAATCATAGCAGGGCCGGGTTGTTCAAAGCCCGATGGGCGTCAATCCTGGGTTAACTCCTTAGGTTTTCTAAGAGTTAACCCAAGGATTAGCACTAATCGATCTTTGAACAAACCGACCCAGATGTCTAACTAATATTTATGTGAAGCTTCGTAAAATTGCCTTTTTTTCATTGTATAACAAAACAAACTTCATTGATACATTGAAAAGAGATTAAGGCCGGTTTTTTGGGGGAAGGATGCAGGGAGGAGGTACTGTTCACGGAAATCATCAGGTAGATTGGGTAACAATGACTGGGTTTTCTTTGACAGGAGGGAGAAAGTGACATTCGTCGTTACTGGACTAGAGTCAGTTATGATGATATTACTTCACACGAAGGTAAGRTTTSTGTTTTATTCCTTACTTTCTTCATTGCAGTCCTACTCTATTCATGACTTACATTTTACAACTATTAGACCCTGAGGATATACATGTAATAGCTCACAATTGATCCTATTGTCTCGCTGTTCATGAGTCTGAGAAGTCTAATTGTTTCAACAACAATTTTCCCTGCAGAAACAACGCACAAACGAACAGCAATGGAATATCAACCACATCACCCTGAACCCATTCGATTTTCRAAACACAAACCTCAAACGACAGGCAACTATTTGGATAAKAAAGTCAGGCATCTAAAACATAGGAAAAGGTTTGACGATCCTGAATCTCCAACGGATACTGGTAGCACTGCGTCTCTTTTAGAAGGTACGTTAAAACAAGCAGGCTTAAACGTCGAGCTTTATCAACCAGAATTGATTGGCAATATCCAGTGACGTCATTTTGTAGAACCTTTAAAATGGACTATTCTTAAAATTCCAGCGAAAGTGGGCTTCTATGTGTAGATGGATTGGCCATTTCTAATGTTTTTATCCTAGGAACGAGTTTATGATTTATGGGACGAGGCTATCCCCGTCTGTGCTGATATTTTAAGTTGATTGTCAATAATGCCCAAAATGTAGTCTATTTGTTTCCATCCCAGAAACGCCGCAAAACTGCCATTTTTTGCACACAAAAAGTGCGTCGCGGTTTGCTTAACAAAATGACATCCCTGCCCATCAATGCAGCTTATAGTCCTCAACACAAATACTCTTGCTTGTAAATCACTTTTCTATTGGTGTCTAAAGTCGAACGCGTTTCAAACCATACAAAGCCTTCCGATAAATCATGAAATCATAAAGTTTTCTTTTCTTTTTGAAGAAATATCTACCAATAGAAGTTCAGCTGCAACGAGTCAAATCTTTGAACGTCATCGACCACCAACGACTGAATCTACCATCAATCTATTTGTTCCGAGTGAATTACGAACGAGTATTGCAGCATACCGAAGCAGGTTCGAGCGGTTTTTACGAGATACGGCTACACATATAGAGGGGTCGTTCGACCCATGGAAACTCGCTGACCAGTAAGTACTGTCATTTGTTTTTGATTTCATATGCACCCTTGTAGGTCAGATTCTGTATAGATTAGGGATATGCAGTCCTCCCAGCTTTGGGATTCGAACAATAATGATTTGCGTACTATTAAATATTTCCTTTTATACGCAAACAAAGGTGTGTCGTGTACCTCCCTCTCCATCGTTAGACTTGGACGCCCTTTTCCCTCTTTGTATGGTTTTGATGAACGTTGACAATTTTAAATAAACACTTTTTATTTCTTTAGAATAAGTGAGGTGCTGCTAGACGATATGATCCAAGACGTTGCCGTTGAGCTTGGTGGTGTGTGTGACGAGTATACCGAGAATATATTTACCAAAGAATTTGTCCCGGCCACAGATAGCAGCCTCGTCTCATAAGACGACTAATGTGATCCAAAAATAATGTCCTGGCTGTAAATCTCGAGTGCAAAGACACGATAATGAGAAGAGATCCTCTNATAAAGCACTGAGGTAATTTCCTATTCAACCTTTTCTTATTTAGTAAATTCTGCTGTTAATAATGTTTGCAGTATTCGTGCGGCTGGTTTAATCATTTTTGATATATTCGAGCATGTTCTTCAGTGGATCGCTCTGTCGACACGTTTATTGGAATGATGCGAACTCCGTGGTGATGACAGTTCCCATGGCTACAGCTATTGTTATGGTAACCGCTATTGTTGTTGGTAAGATTTATAATAAACATTCATCACTATGCATGTGATCTTGGAATGTAATGATGGGCCTGAACATATAATCTCGTTTGTTGCAGTGAGATACCCTGTTGGTTTGGTGTCTGGACGAGGTACAAAGCACTCGGGGCATAGCATGATGGTGGGGCGAAACACAACTATAATTCAAAGGTAGCACTTAAATTKATTTKCTCTGTCATGGATAACTGTTGAAGAACACCAAAGGAATACGAAATCATTACCAGCTTCGGTTTAAACTCTGTATGATATGGCAAAACATTGGAAAACTAGACATTTTTGAAATGTTTTGCAAATTTCTATTCCCAACACAAAAGTGAGCAAGGTTATGAAATGACGTAATTGTGCAAGTGGCTAATGGGCGATGCTTAATTATCGCGTGATGGCGGATATTGTTGAGCCTAGGCGTTGAAGTATATCGGTAATTAATAGCAGCTAATAAGAACAGCTAGTTGTGAGGACTTTTTCAAAAACAGAATTATCAGATAAACACAAAAGGGGAGAACAAATGTTCAAATGTTAAAATACATGACTGGAACAACTCTCTATTTATTCTTGGGTGTAACATAATGCCTTCAAGGCTGATTGATAAAAGCTCCGAGCAATGAGCTCATAGTGACTGGAGCCATTTCATAGTGTTCACTGCACAACTACGGAATATTGTAAACTAAGAGCGATAAAAAATAACTGCACAATATTTATTAAAGACTTACTGGATATTAAATTGGTCTTTACGCACCATATTTCTCATTGGACATATCAGTATTGAGAGAAAAACTTTATTTTATATAAAAAAACGATTAAGATATCCTATTTACAACTCGTTTTCACTCGTTAGTTGATATAATTCTGTATTTACATATTTCTGCAGCCTCTATAAGTCTCTATGAAATGGTATGTTGTGGAGATATTTAACATCAATGGTTTGTTTCTTGAGCTGGACAGCGGGCATTGTTTTCAGCTATTGGCGGTACGTTTTGCACACTTTTGAATAAAAACGATGAAGTTTAATAAAACAATAATGAAGTCACGCGTTTGATACAAGTTGTCCGTCATTCGGCATGCTGCTTTCTTTAGGAAGCTCTTCTTTTGGAGACTCTTCGTCGTCTTTACTAACGGTTTCGCCATTTGACGCGGTATCTCCTGCCTCTGCCTCATTTTTATTTCGGCTAGTTTCTTTCTTCCATTTCATCCTGCGATTTTGGAACCAGGTTTTTACCTGAGTTTCATTGAGCCCCAAAGTCTGTGCAAGCTTTGCGCGACTTGAAGTGTCAAGATATTTCTGCTCAGCAAACGTTTTCTCGAGAACTCGTAGCTGCAGGTCTGTGAAGACAGTCCTTGATTTACGACATCGTCTACCACTTGGTGTTCGCATTGTTGGCTTGAGTCGAAAGTAAACTGGTAACTGATTGAGAATCTCGGGACTGGGATCTGAGAAAGATAAAAAATAATYATAATAAAGCAATGAAAAAGCGCTCTTGGCTTGCAATCGAACCAAAAAGACCTCACATAGAGTGTACTATTTTGACAAACACGTCCATTACAAGTTCCTATCATGCAATGTTATTCTTGCTTTGGGTGTGGTTTCTGGATGCGAAAGTTTGTACAAATGTTCAATCTTTTGTTTACGGCTTAGATAAATCCTTAATTGTCAAACTAAAGATGAGTTGATTCAAATTCTTTCCGTGTAAAATATGCGAAAGATTTGCGTCCTAGCAAATCCATTAAAGAATATTTCCTGCATAGAAACAAAAGTGAAATCATTTTTCGTAAATAAAGCAGTGCAGACAAGTTTTTTCTTTTGGTTTTGTGTGAAATGCTGGCAAAGTGTTTTGTTTTGATTAAGTTTTATTGATTTCTGAAGAAGGTATTAATGACATTATAGGTCGCATTACTGGTGAGAGGTAGTTCTTAGATTTGTTCTTGAAGTTTTCTGCCACTGTTTGTTGTTCGTTCGTTTCAAATATTACCTTTCACTGCTACTTGAATACCAATTTCTGTGTTTGCCTAAATGCGGTAATTTCCGAAAATACGGGAAATACTTTTCAGCTCATTGAGTATTAGAGAAAAGATTTTCTTTAAAACGATTGACTTAGACTTCCGTAATTTTGCTTGTGTCTACATCTCAATGGGGAGAATTGAACTAAAAGCCTCTTTGGTGCTAGCACGTTTTGTCATTACCAAAGTCAACAAGACCAACCAGGTGCTAARGGAAATACTTTTTTTTTCACCATGAGATTTTCCAACTGAATATTGTTTTGATGAGTTGTTACGAATCCTTCGTAGTTAGGTTTTGAAATGGTCTGTAAATTCCCTTTCTTTAGACTTTCGAACCAGATTTGTGGATTAGGCTTCAACGCAACTACTGTAACTTGTCCGCTTGCTTGAAGTGCAAATTCTTTGCTTGTCTTTTTAATGAACTGAAATTCTSTCTAATGCGTTTTTATTTGCTGTAGCAAGTAAAAGACTTGACTGTCTACCGAGACTTTTCTTGGTTTTCAATTATATTCCAAAGAAGGTGACTTACTCAAAAAATGTGTGTTAAACTCCAAAAAGGCGATAAGAGGTTATATTGCGATTGATTTCCCAAGATAATGACTATTCTTGCCGGAAGAATCAAGACGACTAATGATTCTTTGTTAACAAGACTTGTTTAGGTCCCGAATCAAGACAAATTTCACTTTGATTGAAGTTATTCTTTTCAAATTACAAATTAAAAAGTTAATTCTTTTTGTCTATATCTTAACATAAAACGACTTTCGCCCTTTTTAACCAAAACTTTATTCAGCAGAAAAGTACTAAATAGGTTAKGATAGTATCACAGTCTCTGCTGGTGGATCACTGGCTGTTCATCTTGAACATCGAGTTTTGGTATTTCATCTGYGCTTCGGCTATTAATCTTGTCAACATTTTTTACATGATATAGAAACATGTAAGCAGTGCGGGCTTAGATAAGATAAAAACGAAATTTCAAAACTGATAACAACTGGTTTTTAATATCCCCTGTTCTGATTTTTACACCTGATCGGATACCGTTTAAGATAACGAAGGAGATGAGTAAATCGTCCTAACGAGGAAAAKTCGTATTTCTGCCGTGTTTTGTAACAAATCTTTAAGTCGTTAGCGGTTTTAATTTCARCAAATTTACTCGTGTAAGCTCAATCCAGATGTGTGTAGGAACAACAAGTCAGGTTTATGTTATGACGACTAGTAATATACGAACGAATTGTGAAAATACTCTCGATGAACTCCCACCCTTTGGCCTTTAGTAAACACTGCCTCGCAGCCAACACGAAATGCTTTTATACAGATATCTTTTTGCTCAAAGTCTTTTTTAAATTTGTTTTTTTCAAGCAATGTAACGATGTTTTTTATATTAATTTTCACTAATCATATAAAGAGATTTTCTTCTTATGTCATTATTAATACAGGCCTTCAATCAGCACTCGTGAAAAGCACTTTAGCAATRAACAAATGTTAGAATATATAATATCATATAAACCACACCTTGGTAGACAGATTCCTCTCGAACAAGGCTGGGACGTGCAGAAAGTAGAGGTGGAATGCCGTAAGGTCTAAAACCTGACGAGGATAGGCTATGCTGCTCTGCTGCTGAACAAGGCGATGACTGCTGTCTTGGAAGAAGCGAGCACGATGATTCTCTGAGCAAGTCGTTGATCATAAAAGATGAACTTCTAGGGCTTCTAGGATAGCCTAACTGTTGCTGATGGTAAAGTTGCAACATGGCGGATTCTTGAGCGTTGTAAAACATATTTAGCAGTTTGTATTTTAGCTGAGGTCTGTTTCAGATGTTACAGGGCACTAAGTAACAAGGCGTAGTGGGGCTCTATATATTACAGTCCTTTGTCCCGTTGTCCGGTTAATTTGATTGACATATTGAAGGAAGTTGTGTTTGAAGTTGCTCTGTTGGCTTATTAATTTAATCCTTGCTAAATGTAAACTTACAAGGCATCACGCTCAACATGCGAACAAAATATTTTCCACAAAACGTCAGGTTTATTCCTGAGGAATTTTTCCAACAGATGATATGCACTATAACTCAGGAGATTTTTTGGGGGGATGGCGGTTGAATCCTAATTTCAATTCAATTAGTAGATCTATTCTCCCAAATATGACAGTTTGAAATCATTATCTTTTGAATAATCCGAGCTGGAATTCAATCTAGTTTTAATATCAAGAAAAAAACAATGAAAGCAATGATTGAATATATATTCTCCCCAACGTACCCGCAAAGTTGACAACGGACTTAATTTCATCAAGACAGACAAATACCAATGGCCATTAGTGCTTGTTTGGGGTGCTATTTATTGAAGGACAAATTGTAATCCGTAACAGACCTTTTTAATCCTACAGTCATTTGTGTCAACATTTTCAAATGCACAAGTGTTGAGAAATGTCCCCTTATGTCCACACAGGCACAAGCCCAAAGACTCTGTGAATTTTACAAGCTGTCAAATGTGTGTAGAAACACAAGGGGTCCGTGTAAACAATGACAGAATACACAGTTGTTTCAGGGCTTTTAAGCGGTGTTCTTATTGTATTTTAGAAATACAAGAGTCATTTTGGAAGTCTGGTTCAACTAGAAGCTCGTGTCACTGTACAAAACGCGTGTCTGATAAATACATACACAACACACCTTCAACGATCAACTTTTTGGATTGTTAATAGAACTTCAATCGTGGGTATTTCGAGCACTCCTCTCAAGCACCAGATTTATTATATAGTTCTCGGCGCCACTTGAGAAACAATTTTGATAAAAAACATTTTTGATGGCTTTTTGATGGCTCATAATGAAACATGATCCACCTTTTGGGGAAAAAATTCAGTTATTAAGCAAGAAATATTCACTTTTTCTCATATRGCTGAGTCTATACAAACGCTAGGCATATTGAAAGGTTTAATTCAAGATATAGGAAAACATTCAACGCATTGGTGTGATGTATTCAGTCATCGTAAAACGACCTCAATGTACTCAAAGCAGCCACTCGAGCTGCGTATCAAAAAACTCTTATTAATTACGAAAAGAGATGGAAAATCAAAGAAGCCTGCCTTGAAAATATTGCGTGTGCTATAAGATGTGATTTGTGTGAAAAGTTCAAACTGAGCGCATTGATGACACAAATTACGTGTGTGTAGTTCCCAGCTGTATCTTGCTCTCTCAGACCTCCCCGCTCTCATCAGTTTTTCTATCTCAGTTATGTTTACACGATTTGATTAAAAAACTTTCTTCGTGGAGCAGCTGAAAGCGCCAGCGAGAATAGCGAATCCTGGCTATTGTGAACTGAGCAGTTGTGATGCTCAACAGGAAATCGAGTCCTTTWTATTGTTTTGGTTGGTCAAGTTTTCGTGGTTAATGAACACACTGATCACAATACTGAAGTAAGAAGTTGAAAATAAAGGTTTTACTTGACCATCAAACAATAAACGGAGTTACTATGTATGAAACATTTTCCCATTGTTTGCAATCAGGATTTTTAGACCGTTTTTTTCCCCCACATGCTAGCAGCATTTCGAAGCAAAATCTTTTTTTTTTATCTGGCACATTGGATCAGGTAGAGCGGGTTTATTAAATGTGGAATCAATATTTGAGTTAATAATCAGCTTTGTGATGGTTCCTATCTAAACAAGGGTTTTTTTCTATAATCTTTTTTGAATTATCACTACTGATTCATCTCACGCCCACATACCACCCACCGTTAACTCCTCCTGAACACTCCTAAAAACACTACAATTTTACTCCTTAAATCACAAAATAGGCAACAAAGAAAACGAATGGGTTTCTAATTAATTATCATTGAATTTGTGAATTCATGGCGCTTTGTGGATAATCCGTTCGACAGAATCTTAAATTAATTAGTCCGTTTGACGGGCGACAGCCTACTTTCCGTCACCTTGGGACCTGGCCATGAATCGTTTTAAGGAATACTCGAGTCCTATTTTATGTTCATTATACAATGGTCAGTATAAGATGTAATTGTTCGCTATAAGAAAAGCCAGCTAGACGGTGTCCGGTCCGTTATACCAATCAATTTGGRTGGTTATTGTTTAAAAGAGTTATTTCTGTTAATTCACCAGTTCTTGACTGTATGATCTGATTATGTAGACTAGTAAAATATATAATAACAATAATGCTAGCAGCCGCGAGCCGTTCATACCATAACCATCCCTGACATTACTCTACCATTGCTTGTTGATTATAAGCTTATACAACATCACGTCGTAGCCATTTTGAATACTTTACCTTCAGTAAAAGTGTAAAAGTTAGTCTTGTTTAATACCAAAAAAAGTCTTTTCGGTTCATCAAATATGAAAAAGTTCCTCATAACAGAAGATCTTTATCTCAATTATTCACTTTATGAAAGAACTGGGATTAATCAGAGCAGACTGAAACTTAAACGATAGTGGCATTTTCCGGATTTGAAAAAAACAGATCAAGAGAAAAATCTTGCTTTCTTCATCTCCTGTCGAGCCGATTTTCCGCCATTTTCATTAGTTTYGGGGCCGAAGTCTTTGCTTATAATGATGTTTTCCTATCGGCATATKAAATCTCCTTGAAGTTTGCAAAGCTCAAGTGTTTAGCAACTATCAATGACATTCGGTTCAAATGAACTCGTTGATTTACCCACGATAATGATCGATTTTCACAGTCAAGGTTTGTCTTTGATCATTTATGTTTTGATCTTGGATGCGATCTAAAAAATTTGTAGTGGATTTTATAACGTGTTAAGTAAAAGCGAACAGAACACACCTGTAGTGTAGTTTTGACATTGTTCGCTGTACTTTGAATCCAAACAAACGAAATGTGAGGCCACAAAAGATCATTTGTTAATACGTTTTTCATTTCTTACAAACGATTTTCAACACTAAAACATTGAGAATTGTTGTAACGATGTTTGGTCTTGTTTGGTTAAGACTTATGAATACAAATTATTTTTCAAAGAAAATTGAAGTTCCTTTCAGTACTTCAAAATAAAGACGAGGGGGATAAAAAAAACGAAAAGCAGTTAAACTATAAAACAATTGAACTAAGAGACTCGTTTAATTAAAATATCCAAGAAGAAATTAAGAATTTGTCTTTGAAAGAGTGACATTTCTTGAAATGCTTAATGAGAAAATGTTTTTTTTTTCAAAACGGTTGTTACAATTTTGGAACTCTTCATAAATCGTAACTTTAAAATGAACAATTTACGACTATTAATTAGAGTTAACGTTGATTTTTTGCTGTAACTTCTTATTTGATTTCAATGAATTAAAAAACAAAAGCAATTTTAATGGTACAATTATTTAAGCCGATTTAAAGTAATTTACCATGCGATCGACAAGACATCACAGTCAAACCCAGGCTAATTTCTCTGGTGAGAAAAAATCGATGTTTTTATTGCTCTTTTCTCTCAGTATTTCCTGTTTTCTTTACTCTGTTTGTACTTTCTCAGTTATGTTTTCTTTTGGTATATTAGCTTTTAAAGTTTGTACTTGGCATGACTTGATATCACCTCTCCGTGATCAGCGGGAGGTTTTAAGAAAGAGAAGAATCGAATACTGGAAATAAAACGTATGTTTAACACAACTTTTTGATTCAAAAGATGTCACATTAACGTCGTTTTTCAATTTGATGAAAACAAATTTCATTTAAAAGTTTAAACATCACTGTCAAGCCCTCAAAAAGATGATGATTTTAGCATTCATTTTGAGTCAAGCCAAACCTTCATTAAAATTTTATACCCAAACACTTATTCATTTGAAAAACAATAACAATAATAAAGAAAATCTTATAAACGGCAAGATTATCTTACATTTGAAAGTAATTGAGCTCTATTTGAGTGAGTTTATCCGATTATAAGAGCGAAAATCGCAACGGATGTGAAAATGCGCTCTAAGCTAAATTATTGTACAAGTGACCTGAGGAATTGTGTAATTTGCYTTTTAACATCTTTTTTTAATATTTGGCTAAAAGTCGAATAGTCGATTTAATTAAAAAGACAGAAAGGTACCGCGTAGCATTGTTTTTATTTCAAGAACGATTATTTCTACTTTTAGCTTTATTATTTTTGTTGTGTTTTTAATCTTCCGTAAATTCGAACAAAATGAGTCCTAATCGAAAAACACTTAATTGCTATTAGTACAAATTTTAGAGGTTTTCTTGCATAACTGAGCATGGTAAACAGATAAGTATTAGAACTAGTAAATCAAGTTTAATAAAAAAGGAACATTGCTTATCTGATAGTTGATCAAATCAAGACTTAACATTTTTATTTACAGAAATGATCGCACGGCAAGAACTGAKTCAACCCCGCCTTATCCAGAGCGTTATCTCATCCTGTCTGTATTGGTTGCCTAGTGTTGATTCAGTTTCATTTGTTGATTTACTAGGTTTCAAGGTTAAGATCTTTCAAAAAGTAATTATTTTTTCATTCTTTTACGATTTTACACCACTGACTGGCAATCAACTCTCTAACAGCATGGCGTCATTCCGCTAGATGATTCATTTCCTAGCCAGGATGTGTGAATTAAGCGCCGTACAGACGTTTTTTCACCAAAAATAGTTTTAATTCTATCGAAACGGTTTTCATACAAACGATATTAACAGCACGGCGAAGAAGGCAATAATTTGTATTGGAAAGTTTGCTCAATTATCGTAGATTCACAATGAAATGAACTTTTTCTTGACATAACAGCAACTCAGTGTACACAATGAAGACTGTTTAGTTTTTCTTTTCAATTACAAGTTGATTTCCTTCTCACTGGGCTGACAGSGTTTTGTCCGGTAGCGTTTTCCTGACTCCCACAGCAAGTGTCATATCAAGCTCTACAAACATGTCTTCTGATAATAACTAATAAACTTGGCATGGGGCTCCTGTATAAAAATGTACCAAGGGAGGAATGGGGCGGGTACAGTCTCAAGTCGCGATGCCCAGAAATCTCTTTTAGATTTGATAAAGTCGTCACTTTTATTCYTCAAACAGTTACTGGATATCTAGTGCACAGTAACTTTTGGTTGTTTTTCAAGACCCTTTTTGCTTTACATTGATTTAGGATGCTCTGTCTTTTCGACGAAAGGTGAAAAACKKACAGTTGCATGCTATCATGAAAGAATCTGAGCTCTATTTATGAAATTTTCGATGACATTTCTGAAAGCGTTTCAAAAAGCAACTGCTTTTTATTGGAGGTTTATAAGAAAAATTATATCTCGMCTATGCCGCATCAGTCCGAACCCTGGCAATACCAGGAAAGAAAGAGAGAGAAAAAAAGTGGTCGTAAATACTGCTTTGATGGCAGTATGTTTACCCGCAACCCACCGGCTTTTAAAGTCACCGGCCTTCGTTGTTACTACCGGGGGTTTGGGAGCCGAGGTTTAGTTGACTGTTACCTAGCAGGGCAAGTGGCCAAAGGCGTTTTTGTACAACTCTCAACTTTTCAACAAGCATTAAAACATCATTTTGAGAAATCCATTTTTTTTAGATCTGTCGGTATATGTAGTAGTGTYAAACATCCGCAAAAACATGGTTTCAGAAAGTTAAGCCGGGCCTTTTCACTAGCGACGCAAGAGCAAGCGGAGAAGCAAGGGCAAAAAGTTGCGCTTACGTTGAGTTGCGTTTTCGAGCTCATTGAGAATTCGAAATCCCTGCATCCAAACCCTCCGTGAATTATGACTTCATTAAAAATGTATGAATGTGAATTTTAAAAATTTTCTGAATCTGATGATCTACTGAAGCTGGTGCACTTGACGTTKATGCGGCAAGGGTATTTAGTTTGGGACGAATCAGTTTGATCTACGCTTGATTTTTGGTGCAAAAGATCTCTGTGAAAGGAGTCTAATTTTTGCTCCGTAGAGTTCGGGCCCAGATACTAAAATCCGAGGATGCACCCTGCAGGTCCCCACTGACATAGCTGCTGGTTCTCGATTCTCAGGATTCTCGATTTTGATCAGCGGAGCGCGCTGTGTGGTCATGGGATATCGAAAATCGCATTGCATTTTGGATATAGCAGACACGAAATTCATGTGTTTCTGTAAGCTTATGTATCTATTGTTACAGTACTTGTGTTTTTTTTTATATGAAGTATCTCGCATGTAAGACTCACAAGACTGAAGCTGCCTACAACAGAAAATCAAAAATTATACAAAGTTGAWTTTTTCTTGAAACTCTAGTTCAACTTTGAGTCTGTGAAATACCTTGATTTGTACAAATTGCCTTCAATCGCCAACCAWAGAAGAACATTGATAGACTCTATCATAGTTATCTACTAACTATGACTTTATCTGTATAAGGGAAGGTACGTTTATTATTGGAGGGGGGGAGGGAGGGCTGGTGTTTTCAGTGTAATTTTTCCATAAGAATGTGTGACACTCCCCAGTAATTCTAAAACTACACTTTTGACCCTCCCCTAAAAAGTTCCAAAAATACCGATGACCCTCCCCCACCCCACACACACTAGTCTCAGGCTATACCAAAGTTTGCAGAAAAAGCACGCTATTATTCCCACCAATGGGATGGGCGAAACAAGGCACCTAAAGGTTTGATGAAAAAAGAGTTCACACAGATCGGTGCTTAGTTTCCCCATATTTTTTCAGCATTTCCAATTCAAAKCGAAAAGTCATCCTGTTTTCCTTTTTCTTTTTCCTAAAAAGTGACTCTCAAAATGCYCSAAAGTAATTTGCTTYTTATCTTTCGCAAATCGATTTCCCGGACATGCAAATGTGAAGTAGAAGTTATGGCAAAATTGGTCGGAATCCCTGTGCTTTGATTTCGCTCTCCTGAGGTTTTTGTCATATGATTGGTTTTCTAATATTACCAATTTCGAAGATAAATGTTTGAGGCCAAATTTTGACGTTTCAACAAATATTTTGCTAGTTTATTTTTACTCAGAGTATTGTTTTCTTTCGCTGGTACATAGACGCAAGAAGCACGGAAGTACTCATTGTGAAGGGAATGTGCGTACTCACTGGAACCCTATACAGTATATCGGTCAATGAAAAATCGACTCGATGGTATAACATTTTTTCTTAGCTTAACCTAAAAACTAGGATGTCCCTCCCCTAGATAAGCCTTCGAGCGAAGATTTGAGCCTCCCCTAAAGCTTGCAAAAATGATATATGACCCTCCCCTCTCCCACACAAGCCCTCCCCCCAATAATAAACGTACCTTCCCTAATAGCGACGAATCCTCATAATAACATTTTGGCGGGAAACCTCGACCATTTGACCGTGAGTGTTTTGAGTGTGTGTACTTAGGGGTCAGTAAACACACGCATTGATCTATGCGTCGTGACCTCTGAGCATCAAAACATGGAGGATGGATGCAACAATGTCTTGATAATATTTTTAACTTTATTTTGACTTAATTGTTATTGAAAATGGTTCTTGTCCATGCTGYAGCTCTTCTGATCATAATAGTTATTTCAGTGATATTTTTAGGAAGGTTGGTTTATTGTGTTTTTGTTTTAARATCGGTTTATTACAGTAACGTCACCAAATGACATTCAATGATAAATCAAACAAATGGCTTTCCATAGGTTTTTCGCCAAGGTTGTGGAGATTCTCGCTCATTACTTTGCACGGCTTGATGTTACTATCGATACTTTTGGGCTTTTCTCGGTTAGAGGAATAAAAATAAAGTTAAATGGTCAAAGAACTTTGGTAAGTTAGCAGAGTAAATTATATTCATTAAGCTTATTATCTTGTATAAATAGTTATTAATGATATGCTATATATGATATGTTGATAATGTGATGTTGTAAGCTAAAGGAGAGGAAATTAAGCTAGTGCATTCTCCTGGTGTAAAAACCCTACACAGTCATGATATTTTCTGATGATATATTTTATTTGAAGTCCAACAGTTGCATTACTCTGACTCATTCTTTTTAATAGATTATAGAGAGTATTTCACTTCAAACGAAATGGACTTATTCAAACTCAAGGTAACTTTCAAGTTTGATATTTGTATCTTTGTGGTTGACAGTGATCATACAGTATATCCCATTGTTATATTCATATGATAAAAAATTAAAAAAAAAAACAGGTTAAAATGTTAGACTTTTGGAGACTTGTATGTGCAGACCATGACCACTTTAACGCATTACCTAATGTCAGACTATTTGGCTTTTACTCTTTTTGAAATTATATCTTTCAATTTGTGATTATCGAGAAGCTTCAAAAATTCACACTAATTATCTTGTATAAGCATGATTATAGCACTGGAAATCWGTTTAAAGTCATGAAGATTCAAAACATTGCAAGCAAGGCATACTAATATTAAACACATTACTAATATTATATTTTCAKTGTATTATTTCAAGCATAGTTATCTGTTTTTCAGGAAAGTTTTTACAATTTTGTTTGGAAAGGTGGAATTGATYCAGGATGTTCAAGTTGGTTCCCAGGMWGTGAAAGACAAAGCAAAGAARTCTAACTCTATCAGTAAGAAAATGGTGCACATTTATCTGCTTAGTATAGATAATATTATACTAAAGAAAATAAATTCAGTCAAGTAGGATAACAAGTCATTAATAATTTTGATCAGTGGAGTTTTATAATATTTTATTAAAATCAGGTTTTAAACTACCTGACATTTCCATCTTATTTAGTAGCATCCCATAGTGAAAGAGTATCTCAGATCGTTAATCTATTATGTCAGGTAAGAGATTTTTTAAAATCATGGTCTACAATTTTAGCTAACTSTATCATTTTAATAGTCATGTAACCCTTCCTAAATTCTAAGAAACTACACTGAAAATAAACAATAATAGTCTCCTTCACGGTTACCTGCGCCATCTACAGACAATTATTCATAGGTATCTATCATTGCACGCTCAACAGTCGTCTCGCTTCGATGCAAAGGCACGGCTACCTTTCAAGATGGCGCAGGGAACTGTGAAGGAGAATATTCTGAATATTTTTTGAAAATGTACGTAGAAATATTAAAACTATATATGAAAAGTTGAATTTTGAAAAAGGGAAATATAGCCGCAACCCACTATAATGCATTTTATATACACTATATCTAATTTTATTTTCCCTGAATATTTTAGTATCTGGCAATATCATTCTGTGATRTCAGTGTTATTKTGAAACTGCCCAGAGATAGACWAATGCAATGTGAGCTGCGACAAGGACTTGATCTTGTAGCAAATCCTAATGGCAGATGGTTAGTTCCTTAGATCTGTTAATTGAGATATATGAAAAAAGTATCATTGAACATGAACCCATGATTAATTGTTAAATTTTTTCCACTTTTTTCCATTATGCAAAAAATGTTTCTTCTCCTTCTCTCCCTCCACTGACCAAGTAGTATCAATGTCAGTTTAAATATTTTAAATTTGAAAATCTTAATAATTGCACACACAAAATGTAAACTTTGACAATGCCTACAATTAATCAGGTCATGTTAGAAAAGCTTGTTGATCATCATGAATATATTTTTTAATATATCATTTAACTGTGAATAATAATTATTAAAGTATTTTTTTCTTTTAAATGTAGTTTGTTTGTATTTCAGGTTGAATTGTTTGATGTCAGCAAAAAAGATTGAAACACAGATTACAACTGTAAGTATAATGCAGTTATTGTTAGTTTATTTATTATAGTAGGTGCTTTACTTCCATAACTCTCAATTTGTGCTTTTACAGTGTGTATTATTTATATATTTAAATATATATTTAATATACAGCCTTTTGCAAAAATTATGAGAATTGTTGAAATATCTAAATATCATAATATTCATATCCATATATTGTACGGAACACGCGGCTTTGCTAGAATAATTCATTGTTGACATCGAGAAAATGTTCAGAACTACGGATAAGTCTGTCGCCAAAAAAAAACTAAACTACAAAGACAAGGGACTAAGGTCATCGCGCGGGATTACCCATCATGCACTCGATATTATGATATTTAGATATTTCAACAATTCCTCATAATTTTTGCAAAAGGCTGTATTTGTAATATAATGTCTTATGGATGTTTTTCTTCTTTTGCTTTTAAGACTAACAGTAATGGTTTATGTGATACTCTAGTCAAGTTGACTGTTGAGTTTATTGTAGAGGCATCTCTTCAGCCATTGCAAGGAATCAAATCTGCTGTATGTATAATTTGCCGGATGCTTACTTTAATACCAAGGCTACTTTATAATATGATTATAATCCTGTTTGTGTAGGATGTTCAAGTTACCCTTCACTCTGTTTCTGCTGTTATAAATGATGGTAGGAGTGACACTGTGAATGATTCTATAGACAAGTTATGATGTGAACTAATCAATGTGAAAATGTCTGCCAGGTTTTCTCATTAACAATATTAACTCATCATCACCTACCAGAACAGATTCATCTTTGAATGAAGGTAAATATATTGCCTTGAAAAATGCTATATATAAGACTGATAGATAAGTTAAGTTATGATTAATTTGACTTGCTTGCTTGCTTGCTGGATTGATTGATTGATTGATGAAATGATTGATTGATTGATGAAATGATTGATTGATTGATGAAATGATTGATTGATTGATGAAATGATTGATTGATTGATGAAATGATTGATTGATTGATTCGAAGTTTCGCATTGATATGATAATCGTGTCTTAAAGCAAATGCAAACAGGACTTATTGGCAATGTCAAACTTTTATCATATACTTTTGAAAACAGAAAATGCACTATCATCAAATTCAGAACTGACAAGGGATATCTGGCTCCAATTGGCAAACATCCCTAAGGTATCTTTTGTATTTTAGACTGATAGTCTTGAATGAATATAATTAAACATGTGTTTATTTCACAGCACATGCAAGTCCATACAGACAAAATATGTATTTCATTTGTAAATAGAGATCAAAGGTRAGTACATATGATACACAAACCCTGGGAATTGTAACAATAGTCTTTTTCCTTTTCTTTTTTCTGCTAGAAATTTAAGATTGGATATATCTCAAGTTGTACAATTTTTGAACAAAAAGAAACTGAAGTTGACATAAACAGGCAGTGTGATGTTAATCTTGTTATCTCAGGTAAATGTTTATTGTTTATAATATGAGATTTAATTTTGTGTATAAGTGTTTTTTATTTGTTTATTATATATAAACTGCATGTTTTATTTTGTAATGTATAATTTCTATGTATTATTGACAGGTGTCAGTGCGACAGGGATCAAATCATGTGAGTTGTGTACGTTAAACAGGCTTAGATTTACTTCAAAGGTCAGTGAACAATAGTCATAAACYTTTCATATAAACATTTCTCTGTTTAATATTGTTATTATTGTTTGATAATTTAGATTTATGAATACAACAGCAGTACACATGTTGGTGCATCTGTGTGTATAGAATCTCTTCATAACAATTATGTCCATGATGAGTGTCTTTATTGGTTGGAATATCTCAAGTCAAGGTTAAGAGAGAAAAAGGAAGATAAGAGAAGTCTGACAGGATACAAGTATGATATTTCTCATCCATGTACAAGTTGTTAACCATAGTTTGAGGAGATTGAAATGGCTCTTCTCTTTTGTTATCTGTTTGATATGGTGGGTGCTATCCCTACCGTAGTTCCTGTAATGACAGCACCCATTATATAAAACTTGGTAGATAGAGGCACTGTCAATCATGTCTAATGGTCTCACTCAGTCATCATGATATTAGAGACATTTGTCAATCAGTCCAACAGTCATTTATAATTGCTAACACACATTCTCTCACTTCAGWTCCAATAGAGGCATAGAATTTAAACTTCCCGTAAAAGTTGACGTGGAAATGATAGACTGTTCAACTTGTCTGTTTCTTAACCATGAGAGAGCTGACCAACCATTATGTCGTGCTGTGCTGGCGTCATGTGTTGTCAATATAGACATTCCCAGAATGGGTAGGGTAGAACAAATCTCAATTATTGTGTTATTGTCATAAAACTCATTAATTGTGATTGCAATATAGGTGTAGATACAGATAATGCATCTCACAGAATAAGGTAACAGCAAACATAGTAAATATRAGTATTCTATGCTAGGATTTGATATTTTCTTTAGTCCTTCCTAATGATTAGTTTCACTTATTTTCATTTCATCAGTCAGCAATCTTTTTTTATCTAATGTTGAATTACTATTCCTTGCAAGAATGGAGACTCGTCTAGAGAATGCATATATTTACTTTGATGCTTTGAAGACACTACCAGAGTCATTTGACAGTATAGACACCACGTCATACACTCTACCAGATAATCCCTCACTCCTTCCCAATACAAATAACCATGTTTGGGGAAGAACACTGGCTATGGGAACCTTTGCACTACAGGTYAGTGAGAAATAACTATTATTAGACTGTTATTAATTTATTACATTTTATAATGATCATAAATGGTTGAATATGCAGTGTGATGTAGAGATGCCTGCATTGGATAATAAACCAATGAATGTCAGGATGAAAGCAGAGGCCAGTTGTCTTTCTGTAGAATGGTCTCATCAAGTATGCACAGCAATACTTCACCTTTCCAAACAGTTTACCACAACTACAGCCATGGCAACAACTAGTAACATCAATGATGAAACACCTAACAGGAAAAAAAGTAAGTGAATGTTTGTTGATGTTTCTGTCACCCTATAAGCAGTTCATTTTCATATCAACAGTCATTTTGTTCATTCGCTTGCAAAAAGACACACCATAGTACTAGTAGCATACCATTTTATATCCACATTTTAGTAAATTAAATCTTTATCAATAATAGATATTAATTGCATTTTTGTGCTTGAATTAAATTGTTTTTTTTTTCCTTTAAGTTTGTATRGATACAGAAATCAGATTACGTGGAGTAAACATCTTTTATCTTGGMACTCGTGAAAGTGGYGTTGACTCATTTGTGTACAGGACTGACATGGTAGTAGTAACAATACCAGTCACTGAACCAGCTTCACTGGAAGCATTTGGACTAAACATTTCTAGAATGGTTGGACTGAAAAGGGTACATTTTGTCTCAACATTTACCACATCCATGTCAAACATGTRAGAGTTTATTGAGTCCATTACTTTACATAGGCTCCTTACAAATGTCATCTGTCAAGAGATATCAKTGACCCTTGTCTGTCAGTCCCTGTTATTACTGCATCACTAACCAAAGACAAGGTATGTATGTTACATGATGATAAAGTTGTTGACTTGAGTAACCAATATAGTAATTTGTAATGATATTATTATCTTGTGTGTTTTATTTTATAGATAATTTCATGTAGTGTTAATGACACATTGGTCAATTGGGATCCCACATTACATATGGCACTCAATGATAGAATCCAGGAAATCACACAAGATATTGCAAGTGTTAAAGGTTGGTAGAATAAACAATCATTCACTACAACCACCAGCTGAAGAAAACATTGTTTGGAGTGTAATGTTTGATCAGTTTATATAAATGAAAATATTTTTTTTTGCAAATTTTAATAAAATCTTATGCACAACACTTACCAACACCTCAAGTTTGCTTTTTATTTGAAGGAATTTTTATGAGGAAAATAGAATCAGAAGAGAGARAGGCTCAAAAAACAAATTCAACAGTAATGACACRTATCAAGTGTGAAATCTCAGCATTCAAACTGGATGTGAAGACCTCATCATCAACAAGGTTAATTATGTACTTGTTACTTCATTAGTTAAATGACAACTAAAATCTCCTGTTGAGAAATGAACATGCAAAGAATACAAAGAATTGACATTTGTATTTTATCAACAGATTTGGCRTTCAGTTTGCTAAGTCCAACATCAACCTACAGGCTAATGATCTCAGTGTTGTTATAGAAACAGCAGCTGTACTTTTTGATAATAACAACACWTTTTCATTTGAGGTAGATAATTGCTTTTTGCACAAATACTGAAGGTTGCTCCCTGTATGACTGACAACTACAATGATTTGATTTATTAATTTTTTACAGAATGTCAAACTTCAGAGATCTTCACAAATGSAAGAAGTGCAGAATGTGAGGAAGGAGTTTGTCAACCTTACAACAACCAGCAACATAACATGGTGAGTCCAAATTATACTTGATATCAAATGAAAAATATTTATGAACTGTTCAGGAAAAGTGTGCTGTAAGTAGAGCTACATATTGTTTGCAATTAAAAAGGTTTAACTGGTYGGAGCACTACTGCTGTTGACCATTTTACACAATACTTTTACAACAATCCTTTGAAAAACAAGAAATAGGCAGGATTAATATATAATAATASTGAATGGTCATAACAGTATACAAATCTAGATGTCACCTTTTTTTAATTATCAACTTGTGCATTTATTTTGGCAAATCAGGATTATTTCAGCACAAGAGACCCRTGTATGTTTTCCACATCAGTTTGACTTTGCATCATCAAGAAGTGAGGTAAWTATATGTCATTCTTTCATGCATATCATCAAAAACTTTGTTTTTATACTCACATTTGTAGAAATAKTTAACCTTGATCATACCAGCAGCACTAACTTTACTGCATATTACATGTTAAGTGAAGTGTTTTATACTTAAAAGTATATTGAATAAAAAAGTGCACCTTTATGTTTCAGCTTGTTAATATTGCRAAGATGTTAAAAACACTACACAGAAAACCACATGACTCATCTGACACTGGATCTCTTCCACCTGATTTATGGCTKCGTTTTGGTGTAAGTATGTAAAAATGTATGTCACAAAATTTGTAGTTGTCGTTAAGTTTGTTTCTTGTACGTTTTCAGAAAATTATCTTTGAAATTGAAGATGACCCATTTGAAGTCAAGCTTGGTGTTAACTATACAGTATGTATTGAGAACTATTTTATATTGTCATCACATCTAGAACTAAGAATTAAACCTGTTTGACCTGCTATTTACTAGTTATTGTTAGATGAAGCCAAACATTGGAGYGACAGGATGGAGACTTTGCAAAACAGACTTAAAACAATACGAATGACTCCTGGAAACTCACTGACAGGTAACCAATAGCAAGCTTTGTTATAGAYAGCCAATAGGAAGAGACATTGTATMTTGATGGCTTTCTGTTCYTCTTTGTTGTAGTTCAAAAGGAAATAATGTTGCATAAGAAACTACTGGAGAAAAATGCAGAACTTTACATTCAGCGGTCCAAGGTAAATATTGGATAAATACAACATCTTTCCATTGTTTAGATGTAARTTAGTTCCATAGCAGATCATAACAATTGCTACACTCACTCATGAGAGRTCTTTTCAAYAACTGAAGATAAAATCTGTATCACCATGCACCCATGCAACATCCTCTATGTATCACCAATATGAATAATGTACTATACTAACATGATTACAACAGGCATTTTACCATGAATTCCCTATGAGAACCAGTCTGTTAAMGTGGGAGATTGAAGGGTTGGATTTAATGGTTCTTGCTGATGAATCATACCATGGCAAACATAARGCAGTTGAGACAATGATGACACTCAATACAGAAAGGTATTATTTTAAGAGTGGTATTATTAAATCAATGATTGTGAGTTATAATGATCTAATTACTGATTACTGAATTACATTATTGGTTAAGTACTTTTCCAGGGTCTGACATGGATTTCAGCACACTTTGGTGTCGCACTGTCAAAGGAACATTRGCATCTCATTGTGTAAGATATTTTCTTCAAACATGTATTTTATTACATTTAAAAAAGGACTAGGCAAACACTATTTTCACTTTCTAATCCAATGCACGTGTGTTTTCTTGCCTTTATTTCTATTGAAATGATGATTTGTATTCAAACATTTCAACATGGCTTGCAGGTTAAACTAAGAGACTATCCCCAGTCAATATTCACTTCTAAGAAAGTTAGATTAAGTGGTACTTTCCTTGCTGCTGAGCAAGCTGCTAGAGACATTGGTAAGTAGTATCGTTTTACCAGTGCAATGGTCTGTTCATTTTAATATAAGATGCTTTCTTGTAGCTAAGTATGACTCAAAAATAGTTGTTGACAAGCCATGGAATGACGTGGTTGTGCAGCGCAGTTTGACAGTTTTAAAGTATTATTACGACTTGGACTTTGGTAGGTAATCATGAAATGGAAAGAAGTAGATCTATGGTAAAATAAGTGAGAAAGTTGGAGAACGTTTATAATATTATTTTTATCACGGGGAAAATTGGCCATGAATTTTTAATTTCTTGTACCCAGATGTTGATACTTTGGAGTTGGCTTGGGGTGTAGACACTGAACCTGCACTTGCAATGGTTTCCTTAGCTTTTGGTAAGAAGTAACACACTATGTAGATTAGAGATATCTCAAATTAATATTAGTGATCCAGATGAACATTGCTGATGATAAAACTGGTTGGAGTTGTAACAATCTTATATTTGTCTTTTCTTCTGTAGATCATCTGAGTAAACCCAGCAAAGACCCAAGCAAACCATTGCCATTTTACGACAAGGTCCGTCCATGCCGTAAAACACAATGTTGCAATTTTCCTCTAAAACGRTTTATGTTGTTGACTTAGATCCGCYTATTGCTACATGGACGATTACATATGGACATTAAACARTGGCTGATGTTCTTCAGTGCAGCTAGAAATCCCTATGAAAGAACAGAGCGTATGGAAGTTGACTGGAGTAATGTCGATCTTCTGTGGACTAATGGTAATAACACTTGTTTTGGATATTTATTCCTAGAAGTTTGTAGAAATTGTACATCACCGCCTCAACAAGACCCACTTTGAWCTAACCATATTTATATCTGTAGGTCATATAGAGATTGTTGGTGATTTTGATTTACAAACGCGTACAGCATCACGGTATGATGACCGTCAGGTGTTGCACTTACCAGTATTTAAAGTATGGTAAGAACCATCTGCTGCTAGTGTACACTTGTGTTTGTGCAGCTATATAATGTATAAATCCTGTAAATCATGGATAATTCTATTGTTTACAGTGCMGACATGAAGTGGAATTGTACAGGGAATGCTAACGATCACTTTAGTGTGATGCCTTTTGCTCCTTCCAAGCTGCCTGAACTGGCTCCCAACCAAATCCACGATACCTATGCAGCATTTCGATCACAAAGTTTGTCGTTACATATTTCTCTTGAAACTGCTATTGATAGAACCAAGGTATCTATTAAATACTAGATTGYCCAATTCTGCTATGAACTATTTTTGATGTTGATTCTTAAACACAGTATAACAACCAAGGTCCACCAAATCTTTGTCTGTATGCGAGTACCTTCAGATGGTTCAAGAAATACCAGGTATTCCTGCCTGATGTTGATACATGTTTTTTACGTAGTAATGAGGATAATGGGATAGTCTGTGAGAGTCTCAGTGATCAGTTGGTATCATGTCTGGATCATCATAGGGTGATGCCATGAGAAATCTATCATAGTAACCAGCATAGTAACGTATTGTAACGTATCTAGGAGGTTGTCYTGAGGTACACATCAAGACCGATTAAACGTGGCAAGTATTTCAAGAGAATTCCTGTCAAGAAGAAGGCTCTWGGTCGACATTACAAGTATGTTGAAATGAGAATAACCTATAACTAAAAAAAAGTTAGTAAAACTTCGAAGAGGTACTGTGTGGAATAACAGTTTGTGGCCTGGAGGTGTAACGTTTTTTYGTTTGCGTTGCTTAAGGGAAGTAAGCTTATCTCTAAAGTTTCCTGAGCTGTCTGTTTGGTACTGGGGATCCTTTTCACAACAACGTGGCTTTGAGGTGAAGTGYGGTCTTGGCTCATTACAGACTCAGTACCGTCTTGCATTGCGGCCCTTTGATGGAGATCTGACTCGACGACCTGCAGCTGATTGGACAGCTACGAAACTACATGTCCAAATAAGGCAAATCACGTGTCATTTGTATGGGGTGGAGCAGGCTGATGGACAAGTGGAAGGTGATGAAACTGAAGACGTAAGTTGTCTTGACTGAGAACTRCTGAATCGATTCTTTCAAGAGTGCAAAAACTCTTTGTTGTAATCTCCTCATTACCCTGACATCAAAATAATCATCTACTTTATTTCACTGTCAAACTAACGTTCATGTGAACACCACCTATCATCGTCATGCGCGATTCGTTCTTGTTATATCATCATTGTTTGTAAACATTTATTTTCAGGTGAGTTCAATTGATCTGGAGCCGACCAAGTATTATTTCCTAACCACAGAAAGGTAAACATGCAGTGTCCAAAAGAAACGTCTTACCATGCTGACTGGAAAGTCGATAAGTGAATGACTTGTCCAGCTTTCATTTGCAGCAACATTAGAAAATGATAAGTGTAGAACCCAATCTTTGTTAAAAGATTTTTAATTTGTTCATGATTTGATTGTCTCCATAATCAACCGAACTGTTAATAACCAGTTAGTTATCAGACTAGCATTTTTGTGATGGTATCATTACTTGCCATATCTTGTAGTCTAGAGTACTATCGTCAAGATTCCAGTAAACCGCCAGGCCAATCTGRTGACGGCGATGAACCAGATTCACAGGTAAATTGTTTTCATGTTGTTGTTTTTGAATTGTGTTATCAACGTTCATCGATATATTGATAATTTGAATGCGGCTCGGCTTTATTACATTGTATCAGGTATACTATCAGTTTATGTAGTGCTGGTGCTACTGTTTGTTGCTGATATTATTAGTAGTAAATGTTTTTGTTACCACTATTKTTTATCCATATCTTCTAGAGCTTTAACCATCAACTAGTTTGTCACGGCTCAAAAGGTGTCTGGACTCTCACCAACAGAAGAATTATCTTTGGTTTGTTTGAAGCTTACACCAACGCTGAGGTATCAATCGATAGAATTTGTTGAATTTATTTTATCATGAAAACTAACCTTGTTTATCGTAATAATAACCAGTTTTACGTAGTGTTTTTATAGCTTACCATGCAATGTTTAGGTATTGAAGAAGAACCTATCAGCCGATGCACTCAAGATAACTATTGTTGAAAAGAAGCAGGTAAAATGGACTATATGATATCCTGATTACCTTCTTATTCCAAAATATGTTGAGAAAACAGTTGTAGWAAAGTTATAGAGACAAAGAGTATTCATCATTAGGATCCTAACCTCACATAGTTGTAGTTAGTTCTAGGATGATCGGTAGGTATGTAGTGGACTCAATGAACATGTTCCATTATTCCTTTGTAGAAAACCTCACCTGTATCCCCAGATGTATCTACAATGAARCCTCGTTCAATGTCGCTTTTACAGAAGCTGGTAAGCGAAAAGGACTCCAAATTCACCGTCTTCACGGAAGAGGTAAACTGCATATTTTTAATTGCATGTATTTTTACGATGAATACCTTGAATCATTTTGTGTTTATTCTTGCAAGGTTTTGAAGCCTGCAGAATCTCGCTGTGTATCGTCTTTGATCTAAGGTTTTGTTTGTATAGGGGACTGGTACAGTGGAACCATCCGAGACTGCATTACAGGGTGTGGCTCTGTGTTCTATAGATGATGTTATATCTCACACATGGCACAGTAAGTCACATGACTGTAGTTACAGGGTCCGTGCAGGTCCTTAAATCCTTGAAAAGTGCTTGAATTGAAAACTCGTTTTCAAGGGTACTTGAAACTCCTTGATAATTTGAAAATTTTGAAAAAGTTTAACTGTATAATTCTGTATTTTTCAGTAAAGTTGGTCAATTCTCAAATTCTACTGCAAGGRACAGAGACGAAGGGTGGTGTGCTTGTTACAGCTGGGAACACTACTGTACTTAACCGCTTACATCGACCTGTATGGAGTAAAACAGAACTGTTAAACAAGAAGACTTGGGTAGGAAAGCTTGAGAACCTACAGGTAAAATAGAACGTTTCATTCTTATAACAAAGGATTGCACCTTCTTTCCTTGTGAAATACGTGTGTTAAATAATCCAGTTTCGAATTCTCCAACGCTCTGTGTTAGCCTCATTTGCGCGCAAAATATTCCTAATTGTGCTGAATAAAAGTGTGAGATTTCAAATCAATTCCATTGTCTTTCTTTTCGAATTCCATGCGTTTTCTCGGGCTGTCAATGAAACAAAAGAATATATTGCTTGGTTTTGAGGCTTACACAGAGCAAACCAGAACTCGAAATCGGAGTATTCAGCGCAAATTCTGCTTGCTATTGTCATTCAGCAGGCGCTAGCCTCAATCTGGTGAATTTCAATTATTGTTAAAATCAGTAAAAATCAAGCTCTTATTTTCAATAGTATTTTGCAACTGTAAGTCCKGAAGACAGCGTCAACCTCAACAACATTCCCTGGCTTGATATCTCGGTTATAACTGGCCGACAGGCACAGGAGAAGACTGGTTTCGACATAGCGGACTTAGCTAATATCGTAGGGTCAGGGGAAGCGGTWGGTGGTGTAGTCACTGCTATTGTTGGTGGAGCTACCGCTGGGCAAGATGTTCCACAACTGCARCGAATTGTCGCTCGTTGTGGMTGTGAATTCTACTTTGTGAATTTYAGCTCGGAATTGGACCCTTTGGCTGAGAGCATGACACCTAATTTGGTGGTAAGGACYAGTGTCTCTGTGGAGCGTATGGTTTGAATGTTTAGTAATTTGGTTTGTTTTTCAGCCSCAGTCTCCAGCATCAAGTAATCATTTGCGTGTCAATAGACTTCCAACAGTAGATACCTATACAATAAGACACAAGTTACTGGAAATATCAACCAACTCGGTAAGTAATAAAGTGAGTTCTTGGGATGTATTATGATGCATTATGGTGAAACTACTCGTGAAAGAAATCAGTCTAGAAAAAAGCCAGACAGGGTGGTACCTGTCCAAATCTTCTCCTTAAAAACTCCCGCTTTGTTGATACTAGTAGATTGATCATCATTAGAGATAGTATAATACCTCTTGACTCTAAAGTCTATTTGTATTTTATTAGTCCCAGTATCTGATGCTGATTGACATTGTCAATAACGTGGTCTTGTAYACAGAACCAAAGAAGAAGGTACTAAAACCAATCTATATGGAAAGAAATAGGCATTAAGCCRTGTRGKAAGGAAAATCAGCACATCTTGTCAAGCGCTTTCAATGTTCTTTGTGTTTCAGGAGGCAATAGAGAGACTGCAGAAAATGACTTTTCGTTTGCAGTTGTCGGCAATCGAAGATCAACGGGGACAAATCTTGAAGCAGCAAAATATTGTTAGGTAAAACTATCAAATACAATTTTCGCTCCATCATCATAAAGTTAATTATTATTATTATTGACATTGGCATCAGTATTCATCATTATCATCTTGGTCATGTCAGCGAGACTCCTAGTGTGGTTTTATCCTTCTCTAATCAGGTCCCATCAAGGAGAAATGAAAAYCTTACAACGAGATCTTTATGAACTTAACTTAATGCGTAAACAAGCCTTGGACAACCAAGAGTGAGTAACACATCATATCATATATTGTGTCATGTAGTATATCCTATACTATACTTTCTCTTTGACAGGCTAATTGAGGCCATGGTTGAACTTGAACGGAACATTTCAAACAAGAAAGAGTTACTAAACTCTGGTAGTACAGAACTTAAACTACTGATCAGGTCAGGTCACCATACGTGCAGCAATTTTCTAGGATTCATGTTTGCTCATGAAGTAGTATTTCTGTATTTTTAGTGCTTACAAAGATTTCCAGATGAATTTAAGTACACCAACACCTGAGAAAGGTAGAAGAGTCAATTCTTATTACTAGTGATATATATTGGCTAGACTGAAATCCATCTTCCTTTTCGCCCTGTGCAGCTCCCTCAGCTCGTGCTGATCCCACTAAACTGGCCGAGGYTCACTTTAACCACGTGTCATGGCAACTGAATCAAGCAGACGGACAGCTCGAGATAGCAGACGTTACCTTTAGGAACTTTAGGTAAAACTATTTCTCTTGTTTCTCTTATTATATCAGAACGTTTTTTGTCTTTTCTGCTGRTTGATAATTAAGTTAGTTGTAGATCGATTTCGTAAGTGATTATCTACTTTGTTGTTCTTTTATTTTKTTGTTGTTGGTTTTGCCCCTTTGCAACAAGCACTATTTTTTTCTACTGTAGTRTTATTGATATGGTGGTCATTGTTATAACCACTTCTCTTTATCAGTCTCCTGTACCGACTTCTACATCAGTGAGTAACAAAACGTAATGAATATTTGTTACTTTCAGTTACAGTAAAACTACTCTCACTGATGCTACCATTGAACACAGATTTGAAATTCCAAAGTTTAACGTTAGAAATCTTCTACCAAACAGTATTTATAAGGTAACACAATCAAGTTAGAAATCTTCTATAGAACAGTATTATAACTAAGACAACTAAATCAAGTTAGAAGTAACAGTATTTGTAAGGTAACTCGAGCATTCAAGTTAATACACGAGAGTTAAAATGAGAAATGGATAAAGCAGTTGTAAGAACATGATATTTAACATCGTGAACAAATTCAGTGATGAAAAATGYCGATTKTATTCATGCAGGATGTACTGATGCAGAACTCTGTCAGTGGTCAAGGTCAAAAAGACAGATCTGTAATGGTTCGCTTGTACTGTCGGGTAAAGCCACCAGGTTGGTAATTAACAATCTCTGTGTTAATAATTAATAATTAATTAATAATTGTTCAATTGTTGTATATACCTTAATAGTGGTTAGCATGATATTCATTGATGATTTCTAATGATTCATTGTGTTCAAATCATGTTATTGATGACAGTTGCAGGAATTGGTATCAAGGAACATCTCGAGGTCAACGTTTGTCCTCTATCAGTAGGTCTGACACATCGATTGTTTAGTAAAATCATGGTATTTTTCTTCCCGCAACGTGCTCACGAGTACGAGTCTGACGTCACTGACGTGGATCTTTTTTATAAAGGAGGTGAGACATCCATGTTTATTCGATCTGCCGCTATAGATGTAGTATAGGGCTGTCTTTAATGTTAAGATTTTCATCATAATGCGCTACCGTGTAATTATATCTCAATTTATGATATGAGAATTACAAGGGTTTGTGATCAGACAGCGTTATTCGTGTTTTTTAAGGTGCTGATCAAGATGAGAAGGATTTTGGAGATGATGATCTTTTCACRGCAGACGACCTTGAGGTATTGTTTCACTCCGTTATTATCATTTCCCTTTGCAATCTACCTTTTAGTATTGATGTATTCCTGTAGGATGTCCAGTTAAAGACAACGAATCTAAAGCGTTGCCCTAGTACAGCCTCTTCGATCTCATCATCGTCGGATACCTCAGTGGACTCATCCAAGGGTAAAAAGAGCTTATTGACGTCTCATACTGATGCTTCTCCATCCTCTCCTGGTGCAAAAGACAAGGTGATTGTGAAGACCCTTACTTAAATTCATCCATTCATTCGTGTCTTTTTTCCATTCGTTCATCTAGTGATGAATCAATTCAGGTCACTACTACTTAGTAGTACGGTTAGTTATATTCAGCTACATTTGTGAGACTATAGGGACCCCAGGGCAAAAAGAAAAGCACGTTTTACAGACCTCTAGAGGAACACGACGACTTGGAGAAGATGAAAGAACGAGCCTCTAAGAATCACTCGTTCATCTACGTGAAAGTTACAGAAGTCTTGCTCTGTGTCAGTTACAAGGTAAACAGTCTCACGCTTTTTGAAAACTTCTCACATATGTAGAGAAAACAAAGTGATGATTGCCTTGTATACTGTTTTTACAACGTTTTTTATGTTCTTATCATCCCAGGGTGAGAAGGAGAAGAATATTGTCGATGTGCGCAATTTCAACCTAACCCTCCCTACCCTGGAGTACCACAATCGTACGTGGACATGGCACGATCTATTGATAGCAATGAAAAAGGACTGCATTAATGTATTAGTATCGCAGGTTAGTGAAYTGATAATAAAGGAGACATCGAACTTATCTGTTTTTGTCACACTTTTGATTGTTTTTATATTAATTGTCACCTATAATAATACTAGACGATCATGGACCGCTTACGTGGGCTTCCTGTAGCTGCGGCAATGGGTCAGCTGCCGCCATTGAGCTAAAAGTATTTCATTTTCATGATACAGTCTTTGTTTGAAATAGGTCAAGACAGAATTAAGTTAATATAAGTTATTTACTACATCATAATTTTTTACGGAACTGAACTCAACTTCAGAACTTCTTTAAATATCCTTTCTTTCTCAGTTTTCCAAAAATAGCTTTCCCGACTTTACGCTTTAATAGCGTCTAGATTATTCAAAATATGCAAAAAACTTGAGATTTAAATAAATTTGACCCGAAAGCTCATATAAACAATAGAAATGTTTGAATGTTTGAATTTGATATCTCGTAAGAACTAGTAAGAACTTTGATTTCGTGGACCGGCACGTTCCGAAAATTACGCTGGACATCTTTTAGTGTGGGCCTACCACGAATGGCGTGTGCGTTTGTAAGTGAGAGAATGATCAGCTTGCTTTTCTTGGTCACAAACCAGGTCACAGTAGTTATAAAGTGAACTAGATATCGCAGCAATACATGTCAAAAATGAAAGTGAGTGCGGATTGGTTTAGTTTGACATCCCCATGGAAACTGGGACTGCAGACCATCTGCAACGCAGGCGCTACCAATTTGAAGCATAATATTCACGACGACGACGAAGAAGAATAAAAGTCCACTGACATTTTAAGACRTAGTCTTCCACAGGAAGCCCACGTAATAACAGAAATAGACAGTGCAATAAACTTGACTTGATTTGATTAGATCATCAAGGAGAAACTTCACTTGAAAGGAGCTCATGGCATGGAAGGCAAAGATGCCAAATCCCAACCAAGGTACAAAAGTTAACAGAATGACGTGTTTGATAAGTAGT